CTGCAGATGTTCTGCTCTCCTGTGGTGGCCAGTGTCCTGTTTTACACAGTGGTGTGGTGGGGCAGCAGGTTGAGAACAACTGAAGCCAACAGGATAACTAAAATTATCAAGTGTGCCAGTTCCATCCTGGTTGTGCAACCAAAGAGCACTGCACAATCTGTTGTGCATTATAGACAGTGACAGCATCCCCTTTATGCCTTTCAGCAAGTGGCTGATACCACCAAGGTGCACCACAAAACAGGTGAGGAGATCCTTCCTCCCCATTAGACGATGCAGTGCCTCCCTCTCTGATGCCACTTGCTGAGTAAAGGGAGGCAAGGTATAGTACTGAGCAGCACAATCACTAGTTTTTACTAGTTTTACTTTATACTATAATTTATTATTACTTATTGTAACTTTTATGACCTATTCTTTCTCTATATGTCACTAATTAATTTAATTTAATTCGTTATTATTGTTACTGTTTATTGTGTGTTGTGTGTGTGTTTAACTGCTGTCTTTCTTTTGTATACTATGTAGACTGTTTGTCTAATAATTAGAAACCTGTTAAATCTGCAAAATCACAATACCTAATTTATATGCGTTGCTTTTGCTTACATTACATTTAATACATGCTTTTATTACGTAATTGTGAGGCACTTTGGTATGACTTGTTGTTATAAATGTGCTATATAAATAAAATTTGATTTGATTTATATTTAAACTTGAGTTTGTTGACATAATGATTTCCTTGGGGAAGAATAAGTGTACTGTATGTTATCTTATCTTAGTTATTTTATAATTGTAGAGGGAAAATGTGAGGCAAGGAATTGAAAACATTAATATGACTTTGGGGAATTGAGAAAATGTTATGCTGTGTTAAATCATCAATTGGATCATTTACACTTGGAAAAATATTTTGGCAGTGGGCATGTTTTTTGGATTATTATTAAGAAAATACTCTACCTCAAACCCTTGTTATTCTAATGGTTTATGACACAAGAGTGCTCGGACAAGTTCCCCTACATTGGTGTGTTGATATTCAAGCAGCTGTTCGCTCTCTGTTAATGAGAAACTTAAAAATGATTTACAGCTTTCTTTGAAGCCGACAGTCAGAGAGAGAGGAGTATCACTTTAATATCTCAAACTTAGATATTTTGGGGGTCAACGTTTTACTAATCTGATCACAAATTTACTAAGACACAGAAAAATGGTTTAATGTTAAAGGCAGTGAGAACTTTTTCAAAGTGACAGATCCAGTTTTTCTAATGACTGTAGCTCTGCCCAGTTCACAGACACCATTAGCCTCTGCTCCAGTACTTGCTGATATGCATACACAATACTTGCTTATTTTGACTCTGCCTTTTCACATAAACCCAGACAGTAAATAGTAAGGATGTTTTGTTTCTCAGGGGACGACACAAAATGAGAACAAAGTATGTTTACACTTGGCTTTTGGATCAGCAGAGCACTAACAACTCAAATAGCTTAATGGCTGGATAATTTTTAGCAAAATGGCCACCACATGTTTAAAAGTAGGACTACACTGGTTCCAAGGCATGAACTGTGCTAAAATGAATGTCCTGTACTCTGTAAACAAATAACCACACATAACATGGTGTCAAAATGAGAAATGAGAGTATGAGGATAATAATAATAATCACCTTTATTGGCCAAGTATGTTACACACAAGGAATTTGTTTCTGGTACAGAACCGAGGCAGCCATCTGCAGTGCCAACATGTGGACTGTAGGCACCAAGATTCGAGCCTTCAGCCTCCTGGTTGGGAGACGGCTGCTCTACCCACCGCTCGCCTCCCCCCTATAATATGAATCTACAACCGTAATGCTTTATGTAAACCACTTAAGTAGAAAGGTAAAGCATTTTTTTTCTGTGTGATTGCTTGATCATCTGTGTTGCAAACACTTTTAATGGCACTGGTAGTCAGGAATTTAAGAATAAAAAAGGCAAATATCTACCATGTAATTTAACCTAATATGATTCTCTAAAACACTCACACACAAACAAATACAACTCTCCTACTGAGAAAAATAATGAATATTGGGAGAATTATCCTTGTAAGGTTGGTTGAAAGGTGGAAAGTGGGGAAAAAAGTTGTGAAATACCTGCATTTAAGTAGTGTTGAAGTAGTGACCCCTGCTGGAGAGGTTCTCACACTGTCATGCAGGCAAGCAAGGCCTCTGATTGGTTTTACTCATAAACTCTGTTATGTTTGATAAAAGCAATATAACTATTTTTAGTCATTTTTAGTTTTGTTGCCACAACCAAATCAGAACAGTGCTTGTTCTAACCTACAGAATGCCTTAGAGCTTCATTTGTACCTAGAGCTGTGAAATGTCTGAACCAATGTGTGGCTATTTTTACTATGTGATATTTAAAGCTGCATTACCTAACTTCTCTCTCTAATTTGCAACCAGTAAAGGTGAAGTGAGAATTAAAACAGACTCAAGCAGTATCCTTGGGCAAAACACTGAACCCTCAAGTTACCCCTGATGGTTAGAGCCATCAGTTGAGTTGGTGCCGCAGATGGCTGCCTCGGTTTTGTACCGGAAACAAATTCCTTGTGTGTAACATACTTGGCCAAACAAAGGTGATTATTAGTCTCCCTTTGCTCCTCATCACCTCTCCTGCCCTGTCTCCGAAACTATATTATACAGTATGTGGTCACGACAGCCAGAGACAGCTGTGGCAGCAGATTCACATTACAGTTTTTCTCAGTTGCATAAATACAATTTGGCATTCAAAATACTTTGCATGATGATGCCAAGACTTACAAGAATGTTTTACTTTGTGGCATTAAATAGCACTTTTAGATGTTCTTCTCGTCTATAAGCTCCTAAATTCAAATTAGGCAGGTAAAAATTTCTCACTTTTCTCCATCAGTTGACTCCCCCTTTCTCTTAACTGTCAGATATTTGATGCTCAGATATTTATTGCTGTACCTCTAAAGGAGACTTTGAGATTATAGCTGTTAATCTGAAGAATGGAGGCCAGTGTTGCCAGATTTGACTGACAATTAGAATCCATCCAATTATTTTGAATGTATGGACAAATTATGAGATAATGGGCCCCTGACCACCAGCATGTAATTTAAAAGGCCGCCACCCCTCCTACAACAGCGCACCAAAGTAACAGTGACACAAAATTACTATGGAGGTGGCTATTTGTTTTTCTCTAATTCCAGTCATTTTGTGTTTCTTTGTAATTGTTTTGCATGTCTTTGGAGTATTTTTGTGACTCTTTGTGGTTGTTTAGCAGTTCATTTGAGTGTCTTTGTAGCGGAGTCTTTTGATTCTTTAATTTTCAATTAGTGTAGGTTTTGTCCAACATATCAACTTTATATGATCTTTCACACCAACACAGTTGACTTAAAGGTTTCACTTAGATCAAATGTAAACATTTACAAGAAGCACAAAATAAAATGCTGCTATGGATTTAGTGAGTTACCTAGAGTCACCTATAGGTTTATTAACATTATGGAAAGATTACATAGGTCTAGGCCTATGCTGAATTTGCACATTCCTTTTGCAGAGTAACTATGGATGTACAAATACTAAAAATTTACAATACCTGACAATAAGATCACACAGAAACTGTCTCTGGAAGCTGCCAAGTGCATTTTCATAATAAGGTTCATATATTAGGTGGAAACAACTTAATGCATCCATCTCGTTGGCAGATACCTCGAGACCTGAGCAAATAAAATCACTGCATGAATGAATATTACACTGGATTAGTGGGAAAATGTTATTTTGTGATTTGAATGAACTCAATTAGCAGCACAGCTGCAGATGATCAATTCATACTTTAAGCTTGGAATGTTTTTGTTGCTATGTGAGAGACTGTACTGCCATCTGCTGCCATAGACATGCAGTTACATACCTTCCTTTTTAGGTTTATACCTTTCCCACAATTTATTCCCTTGTTTGGCATTGGTGGGTGTCTACAACAGTTGCTTTTATAGTAAAAAAACAAACAAACAAAAAAGTCTTATGAGGCGTTCCATGTCACTGAGTAAGAGATGCTGACCCAAAATAATGTGTGTTCACATGGATTATTTAACAATCAGATCTGTGATCATGTCAGAAAGTCCCATTAATCCATTGTGATTCAGTTGAAAAACAAAGCATGAAGGCCAAAATGGCGAGTACTTTTATCTGCACACTACCACTCAATGTAAGAGTCTCATGGTCAGCCTTTACTAAACCTTGACTGGAACCACTTAAATTCAAGCTTGCTTGCTTCAGCCCCAAAGTATTAGTATGAGTCCAGAGTAATATGCAACAAAATTTTAGGGATGAAATTAATAAAAACTTCAACTGGTATGTTATTCACAGGAACATTCTTTAGACTCTGCTTTATACTGTAAAATGTTAACTTTGCTAAAAGGATGCTTAATGTGAACCAAAGCTGTGGAGGCAGGACACTGGTAAAGCAGCACCAGTGACTGCCCTCTCAGTGTCCTGTAGCATTACAGTAGCCCCTTTAATGTTGACCTGAAGAGCTAACATACCTCAGTCACTGCACAGAAAAATACAGGTGCCATTAAAAACATTTTATTATTCTAATTGTGGGTAGCATCTAAGATCCTATGGTATTAAAACATGTCTGTTGTATTTACAGTATACTAACATAATACATTCGTTTTAACTGTATTTATATGCTCAGGCTGTTTGATAACACTAACCAGACATATCAGCATGACTTGACTTTTGTCTATGCTGGTTTTTCCAGCAGGGGTATTGGTGTACACTCCTTAGTGTTGGTCCAGTGCTAGTAGCTGGTCTAGCAGCACAGCTGTGTTGGTCTATGCTGGTTAGTGTTGGTCCAGTATCAGCACTAGCCAGCATGGTTTCTATTGTGGTCTATTCTATTTTTTCAGCAGAAGAATTAAAACAAAAAAAATCAATTTTTATACACCCAGTTAAATAAACATTAGCCCAGTTTATCGGAAATCCGCCCAACCTGGCAACAGTGTTAAGGGCCCGTCCATTTTTACAATGGATCAGAGCCTAGGCAAAGGCGCCTATGGTTGAATAAACTTGACAGGAAGTCGTTATTCATTTGACCAATCTCATCACGAGAAGTCCGCTAGGACGGAGTCCGCATAGGAGCTGGAGAGGTTCATTCTCACTAGTACCTACTCTGTTTGTAGCTACGTTAGTTCTGTAATTAAGTTAGTTGACCAGCTTTATTACAACTTACTGGGCGCACAAAAGCAGTGAAGGTCTGTTTTTGTACTACGATATGGACGAACAGAGTAGCTGTTGAACAAAGTAACATTTCGGGTGGATGATAACAGTGGACATGTGCAATAAGCTGCACTGGACACTACCTGGCTGCCAGTCTGTCAACTGACAGCTGTCACCGCACCTAGCTTGTTAGCGAACTAGCTGGGTTAGCCTACGGCTAACAAGTGTTTTTATTTTTTCAAGCTCCTAGCCTGGCTAATTTAGCCAGTCAATGCTGCTGTCGGTTTCACTGTGGAAAGTAGTGACTTCCGCGTGGACGTTATATTTTATTTTCTCAACAATATTTGACTCCGCCTGCTGTTCAAACCATGAGTTAGCAAAGGAGCTTCGGACAGCGGTGTATGGAATAATCTGGGGTCCGGCTAGTTAGTTAGCATTTAGCTTGAAGCTAGCTAGCTGTAGCGTTATTCATTCAATTATAGAAACACTGTTAAAGCTTTAACACCAACATCTTTCCGACCAGCGATTGGTTATATTCAGTCATACTCTTCCTTGTGATACTGATACATTTTTGATCGTCATACTCTTCCTTGTGATACTGATACTGATACATTTTTGATTTTGACCGTGCTTTGGATAACATCAGCGGGAAATGAAGAAATTTTTTGATACTCGTCGGGAGTTGGTGAGCTCTGGGCCTGGTTCCGGAGGCGCTGGTTCCGGCATCGGTGGCACCTTCATCGGACGGGTCTTTATCATTGGACGATATCAAGTGACCGTTGAGGAAATTGTCGCAGAAGGTGATCTATGTGGCTTTCTGTTGTGTGGATTTCATAAGTATCACACTCTTCACTTTTAACCGAATCCACAGTCTTAACTGCAGCGTTACCCTATTGTTTTGATAATGGCCAGTCAAGTCCCATTAGTTAAATGAATGAGTCGGTTTATGCTGGGCTATGGCCCGGATAAGATACCAAAGTAATGATACATAAAAAGCTTCATAATATGTTAATGATGCCTGGGAAGGACAGCGATCGATTATTGGCATAAGGCTATCACTGTACCACTGTCCCACCTGGGAGAAAGATGGCATAGCCGGATTTTCTACTGTGTTGTAAAGGACCAGTGCTCAGCTGAGTCATCAGTCTTTGTATTTACAGAGGGAGTGACAAATTACAAGTGTTGATGAACATGGCCTCCTAACAAGAAGGGATATTAGTAACAAAATTCATAACATGCAGTGGGCCCATAGTTTTACATGTTGAAAGAGTTGTGCATATTGATTAGCTGTTGGGGAATCCAAATCAGAGAACTGTTTTATTGAAAACTGGTCTTAACTTAAAAGGTAGTCTTTACCAGAACACGATTAACCAAGCTATGCGGCAAGGGAAACCATGCTCATTTGTCTTTTCAATGAGAGTCTGCCTTATTTTGTTAGCTAAGAGCACCTGCTAGTAAATAATAGATGAAAGAAGACTGATTAATTCATCAGTACTATAGCTGGGCACCATGTATTTGGCCCCACTGTGGCTTTATGAATGGGTGAGACATCTAATCTCAGTCCAACCCTGCACTGTGATGGTAATGGAAACTCTTAGTGTAATTTGTTCATTTCTGTGAACGAGGACATATTTACAGTGTTCTTATCAGTTCTGGAATAATTTTGTACTTGATGCAGATATTCACTTGAGAGAGGCACCATTCTGATTGGTCATTGTTTGTTTGGCCTGGTATAAAGGATTTTGCATAGACAGTAAAAATGAATAATTTCCCCAAGTCTTTCACAAAATGTTAGCTGCAATGTTTTTTCACCTCTGGCAGTGTACCTACTGCTTGTAATATGACTCCCCAGTGTCGCTAGACCTATTTTTTCAGGTGTTTTTTGTTGTAGTCTGGGCTGCTAGTTTCTGTTACCTGACTGCTCCGGTTAGGCTAGAAATAGTTTTTCCCCTCTCACTCTGTCATTGTTGAATTCTGTTACCTTCAGCTGTAATAAGCACTTCACTTCACAAAATACAGACACAAGCAGTCAGAGGGACCTAGTATAATGGCTTTTGTATTTTAAGGCCCAGAAGTACATGCTAGGAATTATGTCATTTTTGTTTTTATTTTAAACATTTGGGTGTAGGACTGATGTTTGTATTTTCAATGGGTTCTCTAAGGATTTTCAAAGTCACAGCTTTCTATCTTTACTGTCAACAAAATGTGTTTTCCTGTGTCCATATAGAGTTACTGCTGGTAACATTAGCTCTGATCTGGAGATGTGTGTGTAACATGTTGCATTGTAACCAAGAATGCGTCCCCAGTTCCTGCAGTTAGTCTGCACAGTATGGCAATTCACTGAGTGTTTCGAACTGTCATTGCGATGTTTGTGTAACCTTGCAGCAAGCATATTTGTAAGCAGTACAGTAAACATTAGGACGTGTATAGCCTAGAAGTCTAAGTCTTAAGTTTTATTTATATAAGTTCCATTATACTGATGACAAATTGTGGCACATACACTGTAACTATTCATTGTGCTTTAGGTACAGTAGCTTTGCCTGAAGGTGTGTCTTTGCTGGAGTGGTATAATCCTGACAGTTACATCAAGAGGCATTGGCTATTTGTAGCTTTACTTAAAGTTATTTGGTTGCGTTCTCTAGGGAGATTGTAGACCTCTGCTAAATGTTATGTAAGAAGGCTGATAATCCTTATAATTTCTTACAGGCATCTAAGATTAGACTCCAAGACAGCATGGGGTTTAGCTGTCTGAACTCTGACAGACATTGCACACACATGCACACTGGGGGCGGACTGTGTCTCGTGCCTATGAAGTGTGCTTCCTTCTCCTTTGTTTCTGGTAGTATCTTCACTGAAGCCTGCTTCTCAAGCACATTGCTTTGCTGTGTCTTTATAACACTGTTTACTTGACTAGCCAGTCCTCTGTGAGCACAGTATCTGTTGGTGCAACACTGTGTTGCAGATTTTTGTACTTCACTGTGAAATTTCCATTGAATTTATAGCTGTAAAATTGTGATATATTATCATCCATTGTGAGCCATCTCTCCAGCTTGTCCCTGACAGGACAGTGCACTGAAACATACATGATTTCAAAGTAGTCTCAGTTATTGTATTTATTTATTTATTTGACCATTTAAACATGTCAGGTTAAAATGTTTTAATGCTGCTGTCTTTTTCTACTTCATTCATTTCTTTAATAATACAGCTAACAGTAATGTATTTAATAATACAACTAACAGTGATGTAGCACAAGGTAGTCCTAATGAAATGTCACCCAGTCCAGTCACGTGGAGCTGTCCTTGGCTTAGTGATGCCAGCTGGATGAGTCAGCCCAGTGCATGAAATTAACGCAAGCAGTGAGAGAAAAAAAAAACTGTGAGCAGAGAAGCTATCAACAAAATTCAGACCTTTACAGTGAAAGAGCCCAATGAAAGCTGAGGCTAGCTCTTATCTAGAAGTCAATGAAGATAACAGACTTGGTGTAATCCGACAGAGCAGCCAGGGCTGGTTGTTTTTCAGTAGTACAGTCTACAGAATCTGGAAAAGTACGAGATGTGAGCTTTAGGCGTATATATTGTCTCAGTGGGCCTTAATCAGTTCTGTTTATTGTGGTTTCAGTTGCTATGGATGAACACAACCATTTAGTTTTTTCCTTTAGTGGCAGCATCACTGTGACCAAAGGTGAGATGATACATTCTTTCAGTTCTTGTATCCTGTGTCAGTTTTGTCTGCTTCTGGCATCCTACCCTTCAGCTCAGCTGCTGACTCACACGGAGCAGTTTCGAGGTTCCTCTTACCAGTGGGCCAGCCAGCCTTACACTGTACACATATCCCCTTTAAGCATTCTTTTTCATACTTCAGCACAGCAAAATTTTTTAAATATATACAGATATAAATATATTAGTTTAGCAGAGGTAATTTCCATGACCTCATCTGTCTTCCTCATTAGCTGACAAGGTGAAGAAATGTCAGATCTGTCAGGGTCAGAGCACAGTTCAGGGACATTTGGCTTGAAGACACTTTCAGAAAAGATAAATAATGGTAATGTGTGTTGCTATCAACATACAATACCTCAATGTGAGTCACTTATTTTGAAAGATATTTTGAAATGGTAATTCTGGATTACAGAATTACTATAATTAAATTTGTTTTGTACTTTTGAAATGTGTGTTCATTCTTTTTTCCTTCTCTCTCTCTCTCTCTCTCCTCATTTGCAGGAGGTTTTGCCATAGTTTTTTTGGTGCGGACTCATCAAAGTCTACGCTGTGCACTAAAAAGGATGTATGTAAACAATGAACATGATCTGCAGGTCTGCAAACTTGAAATACAAATTATGGTGAGTAAGGCAGTCCAGTAACTAAGCTGCAGCAAACAGCAGTTTCTTTTTTCACACTAGTAGGAGATGGTCTTCTAAGACCAGGTTGTGTTATTGTGTATTAATGTTAATGTGTTTTCATGCAGCTAATGAAAGCTGAGCTGAGATTCAGACACTTGCGATGAGTCCTATATCCTTCAAGTGCAAGTGCTAGGATGTTAACAGAGGTTGCAGTTAGTTCCCCTTTAACACATGAAGGAAACGTTTATGTTGAATCGGCACTTTGCAAAGTTAGGTCCTCTTGTGTGTCCATATTCTAGTTGGAGTTCATATTGTAAGTGAAACTCATCAGCTCCTGCAGCCACACCCTGGGTGGCATGACGGTCACTGGATGGTTATCAACATTACTTACAGAGCTTTGGCACACAATTAGCATATCTCTGCAGATAAAATTAGACTGAATAGTTACGAACATGCTGGATGATGTATTTTGGAATTTACTGAGCCAAATGTATTTTTGGATTGTAAAATCTATCAAAACTGAATCTCTGTTGTTCGTCATTGTTGCCCTTTGTGTTTGTTTAATACAGAGGGACCTAGTAGGCAACAAAAACATAGTTGGTTTCCTGGACTCCAGCATAACTGCAGTGGGATCTGGTGATGTGTGGGAAGTCCTAATCTTAATGGACTTCTGTCGAGGTAAATTGCCCAGCTCACATGCTCCTCACAGCATCCTGTTTTGCTCAAAGGCAAATATTCTACTGACAGCTATCACGGTCAATAGAACTTAGTTTTAGTCGATACATAACTGAGCAGTGTTATTTGTAGAAAGTGTAAATATTAACATCACTGTGTAGATAAACACAATGTGCAAGCAAAATTTTAAATGAACATGCAGCTATAGAAAATGTATTTCAAGCTATCTTATGCTACAAACACTAGTGTTAAAATACTCTTCCTCGCATGTTTGTTGCACTGTGAGAAGCAAAGCTGAAGTTGCAGAGAAAGTGTGAAACATTGCTGTTTCCAAACCTTGCAGAAAAACGTGAAACTGTTTGGCTGACTGCTTTCAGAGGTGCCAAGTGTATTGGCTGTTTTCAAAATATTAAAAAAAAACAATTAGGTAAATGTAAGGTATTTATTGTAGGTGCTGTTCAGAAAGTCAACTAATTTGTCCTTTTATAACAGGAAAGTACTACATGTAGGTTATATCCCTCAGATACAAGTTCACCAAAGACTAGGAAGTAAAGTAGTGAACTTAAAATATAAAGTTGCCGTTTGGTAGCTTTTAGTTGACCTGTTTATTTTATGCAGGTGGGCAGGTGGTTAACCTAATGAACCAGAGGTTACAGACAGGCTTCACTGAGGCTGAGGTATTGCAGATCTTCTGTGACACATGTGAGGCAGTTGCTCTTCTCCACCAGTGCAAGACTCCAATCATTCATCGAGACCTCAAGGCAAGTCTAAACCATTTCCCAGTATAATGCTAGCTTATTAATGGACAGACTAATTATTTCAAAATAATTCATTATGACATTGATGCTTACTTCATGTATTACCAGTTCTCACAGTCTCATCTTGCTTTTCTCATGTAGGTGGAAAATATTCTTCTGCATGACCGGGGACACTATGTGCTCTGTGACTTTGGGAGTGCCACCAATCGCTTTCAGAATCCTCAAACAGAGGGAGTGCCAGTAGTGGAGGAGGAAATCAAAAAGTAAATTTTCTGAGATCTTTATACCTTCCACTGTTTTTCTGACTATAAAGATAAAAAAAAAAGACTGGTCTGCTCTCAATGTCAGGTACACTACTCTGTCATACCGTGCTCCAGAGATGGTCAACCTCTATGATGGAATGGTCATCACAACAAAGGCAGACATTTGGGTGAGGCTGACTTTTATAAACATTGTTCAACGATCTGATGTCTGTATGATCATATTAAATTGTCTGTCATAGTGACATGTGCATCAACAAGTACTGACATGCTGGACACAGTCATATTTACACATGGTTGATTTTCTTGTCTGTATAGGCCATGGGTTGCTTACTCTATAAGCTGTGCTACTTCACACTTCCTTTTGGGGAGAGTCAAGTGGCTATCTGTGACGGCAACTTCACTATCCCCGACAACTCCCGCTACTCCCAGGACTTGCACTGTTTCATTAGTGAGTCCCTTGTAAATACTAAATGTCCTACTTGCTACATTTGCATCTTGTATACAGTTAAGCCTAAACATCTGACTCAAAATAAACATTGGTCATTGACATCTCAGGATACATGCTGGAACCTGACCCAGATAAGAGACCAGACATCTACCAAGTGTCTTACTTTGCTTTTAAACTGGCTCGACGGGAGTGTCCAGTCCCAAATGTTCATGTAAGTCAGCATGATAAGTTGAATGTCAGGAATATGACATGAAAATGCAATATGCTGCAGGGTTACTGCTAAATATTAACAGTTGAGTAAGATGTGTTCCACTCAGAATTTAGCCCACTATGTACCTCACATACAGAAGTTTCACTTGTCTCCTTGCTGTCCAGAGAAACAGCCTCCCTGCATTTTTCCTGTCCATTTAACGTACTGTATTTATAAAGTAGCTCATCCCTTGTTTTTCTGATTTAGCCAAACCCCTGGGTGAGATTAATATAGTTTTTTATGCTGCGTTTTTTCTGCATTCATGGAAGATACACATATACAGTATAGTGGAGTACAGCTGTGCCAGAATGTTTTCATTCATATCTCACTGTAAGTAACTGAAATATTTGACTGAATTGTGTGATAAGTTTGAAATTATCTTACTGCTGTAGAATGTACCTATTCCAACAAAGCTGCCTGAACCCATCAGAGCCAGTGAAGTGGTGGCCAAAAAGAGCCAAACTAAAACCAGGTGAGTGGCAAGCAAAGCATTTGAGTGTAATCATTGTAAAGAAGTTTACCATTACTTGTCAGTTCTCTCTTTTTCTTCCATCAGGCTCACAGATCCCATTCCTACCACAGAAACCTCAATTGCACCTCGACAACGCCCCAAGGCAGGCCAGGCTCAGGCCCAGCCGATATCAGGCATTCTTCCCATCCAGCCTGCTCTCACTCCACGCAAGAAACCCAGTGTGGCTGCTGGAGCACCCCAGGCCATAGGTAACAGTAGCTGTGTTACATCTCTGTATGTCATGCTTAAGACGGCTGGTTATAGAAGCCTGCATTTTTAGTGACAGTTATCCCGGTAATAATGTACTCAAAAGTGCACCTTATATGGGACTCAGCTTAGTGAACCGATTAAGAATTTGACTGCAAAGCCTGTCAAAGGCTTTGATTCTAACTGGATGAATTAAGCTTTTTTTAAAGGCTTAACTGTCCTTTTACTAGGCCTTAGGCATCAAAAGTGTGACAGGACCATCCATTGGTGGCCCACTTGAAAGGCAGAATAGATGGGGACATGATGTTGCACTAATTACAGCAACATAGTTTCATGTTTTTTATATGTAGTTCTGACTCACTCATTTGCTGGGTCTTTAAGTATTTTTGGTATTAAATGTAGAAATTGAAATTAAAAAGTCAAAAATACTGTTAAATATCTATTTAACTGTGACATATAGATATTTTCATTATGACTTTAGAATGCTGTAGAATATTTCCTTATTTTGTCTTTAGATGAAAGTGGCCATTTTCTTTTGGATAGTCCTTTTTGACATTCAAAGAAGTCTATAGTTATACAAACGTACTTGTACAAACGCACGTTTTTACAACATGTGCAGAGTTTGTGTACATCACAACTGGATGAAAACAAGAATTCATGTTATTTGCATAGATTCAGGTCAGTGTCGTTGTGTATGTTAAAATACAATTATCATATAATAATGAATACATTTTTCTCTATTCCAGGTGTTGGAATCAGTGTTTCAGCTACAGCTGCTGTCCAGTCTGTTCAGCAAGCTCCTGCTGCACAAATCGCACAGCAGCCAGCTAAGATGACCAACACACAGCCACAGGCTACACCACAGCATCACCAGCTCCTCATGAAGCAGCAAGCGTCAGCCTTCTTAAGTCCACAGAGTCACCAGCAGGTCAGCACTGTGCAATGCAAGGTGTGTTGTGTGTGTGTGTGTTGCGTGAGTGTGTGCACGCATGCAACTTGCACTCGGGGATACTGACAAGGTGATATATGACTGAATGATATCAAATTAGACTGACAACTAATTAAAGAGCAATGACTTTGCTTAAGATGCAAATTTTTGTTAAATTTTTACATTCATAGTACATAGGTCCATGTGGCTCCTAGAGATGTTTTTATGGTTGAAGAGCCCTGTATGTTGACTTGTGTAATTGACCATTTGCAAAACGGAAGGTTCTTCTGATGTACAAGTTTATTGTGGTTATAGGTGTTGCCAGTGTATTTATTTTGATTAGCAGCACAGACACTGTTTGGATTATGAGTTTATTTCAAGTATTCTTGTCTCAATTCACGATCACTATCCGTGCAATAAAACGCACAGTGTGATACCACACACATATTGATGTGTTGAGCTGGTAACAAGGCAGAAACATGCAAAGGTGCGGTGTCCTAGCATATTTATTTGACCCTGGTATTTGTTTATCTTTTTACCCTTTTTGTATGTCTTTCCTGTATATTCTATTCATTTTCATTGTGTGCTTGATACACCAAAAAATATTTTCTTGAAGCCTGCTTATGAAAATAAGTCAAGATGGAAAAAAGTCATTTCAGCTGGGCCAAAGTTGGAAACTGAGCCTTGCTTATAATTGGCTGTGTGGTATTCTTATGTAGCATCAACTGGTACAGAGCCACCACCACCACCAACAGCAGCAACAACAAACAGCATCTCATGCCAATCCCACTCCTCCAGTTGTTAACCTGCAACTGCAGCACCATTGGCAGCAGCAGCATGTTGTCCATGAGACAGCAGCTCTCCATCTCACACCCATCCCTGAGTCTGCAGTCACTGATCCTGCAGCTCACCCTGAGGTCGTGGTAACATCCTACTCCTGCTGTTGTCTGCTGCTCTTTAGATTGGGGTATCTTGTCTCTAACAAATCACACCCACTTTACTCTCTTTTTCTTTTTCAGAGGTGAAAAAGCAGGCATGCTCTAGGAATATAATAAATGTGGGAACGTTACTGCGGTGTGGCTGGAAATGCTTCCTTTCATGATGTTTTTATTAGATACTGTATAAATCATGTTACAACCAGATTATTTACTTCTGCACTCTTCACTGCTTCTGTCACGCCTCTTTAATGTATATTTTCATTGAACTCAAATCAAGAGGTGCCCTTTTTCTGTCTCTTTACTGGGAATACTTTTACCATTTTGAATAACTGTTTTCATAGAATTGTGGTTTTGGATTAATATATTATCCATCTTCAGATTTCCTTCTCCAGTTGGTCTTGCTTATCTGGGTGTCTGATTTGTTTGTTTCTCTTATGCACTAAACAGATACTCTCTCCTTTTTCATAGATCCCCCACACCCCACCCAAAAAGAACATAAATAAATTATTTTTTTTTAACAGGTGTCTGGCCGGGGGATACACAAAGTCGGCTCTTTGACACCTCCCTCATCACCAAAGATGGCCCCTAAGAGTGGCCACAGACGAATCCTCAGTGACGTCACCCACAGTGCTATGTTCGGGGTCCCAGTCAGCAAGTCCACCCAATTACTTCAGGCAGCTGCAGCTGAGGCCAGCCTCAACAAGTCCAAGTGAGCAGAATCAATTCCCTTCTGTGATCTTAGTATGAACTGCCCTTTCATGGCACTGAGTAAGCACAGAAGGCCAGTAGACAGTCCATTCATATGACAGAACCCCACAGAAGGATAAACGGCCTGTTTATATTCCAAATAATCACTCAATTTAATTTTTAAATAACTCTTCATTCCATCTTATTTGTATTCATTTGTGGGCCATAGTAGTATCTACAGACTTATGATCAAACTTTAATGTGCATTCTTTGCCTTGTTTATGTTTATACCTCTGTATACTGCAGGTCAGCCAGCACTACTCCTTCTGGCTCTCCCCACGCTTCCCAGCAGAGTGTGTATCATCCAGGTGATGCTGACGCCCCGTCAGCCCTTAGTGCACCCAGCACTCAGCCCAGCTGGAACCCCTTTGGGGACGATAACTTCTCTAAGCTAACGGCAGAGGAACTACTCAACAAAGACTTTGGAAAGCTAGCTGAGCGTAGGTTCAGCTCGTTTGCTACATACTGGCACCTGCAGCAGTGGTAAATAATTTTGTGTTCTAATAATAATTGCTAATTTGCTGTTTTTGTGTGGCTGCTGTGCTAGGAGATAAGGTCACAGGATCCAATGAAAATCTCATTCCAGGCCTCTGTGCTTTTCCAGGTAAGGCTTTACATAATTTTTCTCAGTAGTCTCCTTTCTTTGCACACTGCATTTCCCAGGGGGGTTCTCTTTGAGCGATGTATCAGTTACCAAGTGGACATTTCAGATTCAGTTTATTGAGATACAGCAGAAAGTTCTGGCACAACTTCATCCACTATCAAGGTACACAGACAAGGAAACACAAACGGGAAAGCAAAAAGTCCAGTCTGTACAGACCCTGACAAACACTTCATGCCAAAACTGATGGTCTTCTTATTAAGGTTGCTCAAAACACTGCAAGTGTTGCTGGACTTTTTGTTTTCCAGAATCAGTTGTCGTGAACATACAAGAAATTTTACTTCAGTACCATGGCTCTCAATGTGCTTCCATGAGACAACAAGAAAAACAGAATTATTTAAACAGGAAAAAAAAAGTTTTAAAAAGTGTGTTGCTGCCTTTACAAGTACCAGTCCTACCCATTATTCTTCTTTTGTTCATTCTCTCATTTGTTCTCTTCCATTTTTATTCACTGTCCATTGTAAGTTGAAAGATCTGAAGACATCATGAATGTGCAGGTTCAGCACTGTTGAGTGTCCCTGACACTTTTAATACCTCCTCATTCTCTGGCACCACAGGTAATGTTTTGTCACTACATGACACAGATTAAGCTGTAACTTTGATTGTCTCAGGCCTTGGGCTCTTGAACAAATGTATTTACTGAGGGAGTTTCCTGGATATCACACTACTCAGAGGTCAGGTGATGAGTGCTAGTTTTGTCCACAGCCCTGTCTTGTTGACATAGCAAGCAGCCTCACAGTGGCTCCTTGTCAGCTTCTATGAATAGCAGCTGTGGCTAGATCGCATCTGATTTGCAGATCTGAGCTTTAGCTGTTGCCTAGTAACGCAAAGGACAAATTCTCCTTTGTTAATTGGGTCACCTTTCTGTTGGAGAAGCTTGCTTACCAGTGCCACTAAACAAGAGAATGTTAATCATACTGTCTTATTAAAATGATGAGCCAGCCATTTATGCTGTCCTCAGTTTAGCCTTTAGCTCTTCTGGAAGTGCATGTTTCTTAGCTGTGTAACCTCCTGTGTTTAGTTGCTGTTTAAGGCCTGAACCGATAGGACAGAAATGCTGAGACTATTACACAACCAGGGTGTGGTTAATCAACAGGACCCAGCCTAAGCTATCTTTTATCTTTTTGGTTCTCTGTATGTCACTTTCTCCAATGGGATGTGTAAGCACACAGTGCTGTTCTGGGCAGTAGTTAGAATGAGAATTACATTTTTTTTTTTTAAAGCATACTGTAAAGCATTTTAATATAACATGCTCTGTATTTATTTTACTGGAAGAATTGTTGTAAAACAAAACAAAAAATCAGAAATGTTGGCCTCTTTCCTATAGAGAAGGAGGCAAAAGATCACATCTGCTCTGTCATTTTCTGAGCCAACACAATCCTCATCTAAGAACCCACCCCATTTTGCTCTGTAGCCATTGATGTAAGTATGAGCTGCGGTGAAAAGTCAGCAATTTGTCACTTCATGCATGGATTGTGTCTCAACTTATAGCTCCATTCAGAGACATTGGAATATTTACATTTGCATATAAAAATACTCTGCTATAAAGAATATATGGTCTAACACAGTTTTTCCTCAAAAAAGTTCAGTGAACCTCTGTAACAGGCCTCAACATTTACCCCTCATTGTGAATTCCAGGATCTATGAATATTCAGATATATGCAAACTCAAGCAGTAGCCCCTCCTCTTCTCCTTCTGCTCCTCTTTGCCTCTCATGCCCTGTCTCTGAAACTATGTATGTGGTCACTACAGCTGGAGACAGTAGCACTCTTTTTTGTGCTACAGAACAGTCTAACAAGTCCATTCCCTTCCTGGTTGCACAGGGAGCCTCCACAGTCGGTCTTTGAGGCCACGCTGGCTTGAAAAACACACATTATGATCAGTGCCGGCGTGGAAGCAGTGCTGTGCGGATTTTAACAACAGTAGCCACAGAGGGCAAGAAATAAACACAAGGCCTGAAGAGTGGGGCGGAGGGGTTTAGTACAGCAGGGAGCCAACTCTTCTAGACACTTTTTTTTTTAACTTGATTTATTTTAATTTGTGCTAAATCGTAGTTAATGCAGCTTTAGGTTTTGCCTGTGTTTGAGAGTGTTGAGTGCTAAATTGTAGTTAATGCAGCTTTAAGTTTTGCCTGTGTTTGAGAGTGTTGCGAGTGTTGGCATGGGTATCAGTCTTGTGGTGCAGTGGAGCAATCATTGTTCACTGTGTAGAAGTTCACTATTTGCTCTGGCTAAAGGATAGATTTTTGTCCTTTGCATCATGGGTTTCACTCCACTAACTCAACTGGAATTGCACTGCTGTGGTGGGAACAAGTCACACAGTACATATGGTGCCTTTATTGACCTTGCAAGCACCTTGATAACTGTTACAAATATTAATCTGTAATTATCCTCACTGATTTTATCAGTAATATTTTTCACCATTGCTAGATTCATGTCTCTTTTAGTTTTTCTGGTCCTTACTGATGTGTACAAATCCATCATCGCCCTTTTCTGTTTTACACCATCTGTACATTACTTCTCTCCATCCTCTCTTTTTGGCTTGCTCATAGAGAAGCTGACTGAGGGACTGAAGTCCCCTGAAACTTCTCTGCTGCTCCCTGCCCTCCTAACCCTGACTGACGCCTTCAAAAGTTCCTCAGAGAGCGCCGCCAATGGTACTAGCTCTGCTCTTGACCCTTGCCTTGCCCTAAAGTTCCCCACCTCCTCATCATGTGCCCTGCTTGCTTTCGATCTTCTCAGAGAGACACCCACTGGGAAAAGAAGTTAAAAATAAAGGCCTCCATAAATTGTATCCCTACTAAGACAATCAGTTTTCTTTTACATTCCCAAGAATTTATTTGCATCGTCTTTTTTTTTCTCACTTCCTGTTTTTGTATAGTGAAGGCAGAGGAGTGTGTGGATTCACTGATTCCTGGTTTGGAAGCCCCCCACGCCCAGCGACATTCAGCTCAGCCAGAGCTCATCCCAGCTAGCATGCCAGGTTAGCAACCTGGTCCATAGATGAGGGAAATAACGGAGTTCCTTTGCAGTAGTTTTTCACCCTAAATCCACTCACTATCTACATTGTTCAACAATGATTAATATTAGCTGTGGCAAACGTAGATTTTGGGTCATTAGTCCTGCTCCTGACTTTGCAGTATATTTTTTTATGGAACCTCCTTCAGGCTGATGATGATATGCTTTCTGAGATAAAACACTGAACTGTCTTACTAACAACATGCATCTTTCTCTGCTTAAGCTAACTATCTCATTTTTATTGTGACCCCTTCTTCCTTTGGATTTGCTTCATCCTATCTCAGACTCTCTCACTGGGGAGGATTCTCTGCTGGTTTGCGATTTGCTTTCTCTTACTTCTCCTCATGGAAACCAGTCTGTTTGCTCTGCTCTCCCCTCCTCTTCCTCCTCCTCCTCCTCCTCTGCTCCTCCTGGATTCAGCTCTGGATTCTGTCTGGAGGAGCTGCCACCTGCTCAGACAGTTTCTGGTAAGACATTCACTTTGCAGTACCTCTCAGCAAGTCTTATGTCTGCTGGGTGTTTGGGCCCCTGAAACTGTCGTGGGCCACAGGTCTTTCCCAGAACAGGAGGGCCTTTCAAACAGAGAAAATAATAACTTAAACATGTAATACTGAAATTGACTTTGACAAATTAAATGACAGCATCAACAGACCCTTGACTCAATTGTAGAAGAGCCAAAAATGACCTAAAATGCATGGCTTTAAAATGCTGTGACTGTCCTAGCTTCATCTTTTTTTTTTATCTACTTGCATCCTCCTCTCTTTTTGTTCTTTTCTTTGGCTAAGATAACTACTTTCCCCCTCCATCATTCCTTCACTTCCTCTTCCTTCACCGCAGACTCTACTTTCCTCATGTCGTGTGGGGAGAACGGCAATGGCGACGAGTTTGACCCTATTCCTGTGCTCATCTCCAAAAACTCAAATCAAGGTAAGGTTAACAGAACCCCGAGATGAGCACTCACAGCTGCTGAAGCCCAGACTATGAGCCACCGAGATCAATAACTTAGCCTCTAATTCAGTCAGTGTGCTCATTCCAGAAACCTCTGGTGTGAGACATCCTGTATGGGTGTGCTTGTCACATTAAGGCTTTTTAATCCCATCAGGCTCTCACATTAGTCATTACCTTTGTTTCTAATGTTAATGTGCCAGTGCTTCTCCACCTTGCAGGTGTTTGGCTCTTTGTAGTTTATCTGAAAGTTTCCTCATGTTAGAATGGCATTCCCGTACTCTCCCCCTGTAATGATGCAGCTGTACAAAAATGATCCCAGCTCACTGTCTGCCTGTTTCTCTTTCTCTTTCTGCCCCTCTTCATGCATCTGTCTTTCCCCCTCATCCTCATCAACCCCTCGCTTTTAATTTCTTCATACAATCTTCATTAATATTACTTATCCTTTTGCTTGTCTTTCATCATCTCCCTTGGCTCTTCCATGTCTCTCTCTCTCTTTCTGGCCCGTTTTAGGTGGTCACTCGCGCAGCAACAGTGGCAGTTCAGAGTCCAGCATCCCCAACTTGGCCCGCTCCCTTCTACTGGTGGATCAGCTCATCGACCTCTAGAGGGGGTGGGAGAGGTTGAAGGGGCAGTGTGCAATCCTAACAAAGGGACAGGGGTAGGGTGGGGAAACAGAGGCACTTAATGTAGCACCTTATGAAGTGAACCAGAGGAGCCAGCATAGACCAGTTCAGTGGCATCGTTGTCTTTATGTGCCTCCTTGGCCTCAGCTCCATCTCTAGTTGCCTGATAAGCTGGTTTCATATGTCTCTGCTGGCCGATAACATTCCCACGCTGGTAAACGTCATTTCATTACTGCCTGAGCATATTGTCTGCTTTTGTCCTGGCTACACAAAGGTCATTCTCATGCTTTTCTCATACTTGCATTAATATCCCTCGTTGGAGTGCATCGCCATAGTGATCAGCTTTCATCGTATGCACACGTTAACCTGCTTGATCACAGCTGCATTGTGTTCACTTTGTGCACTTGTTCAGGGTTGAAGCTTTATTTACACAAGCCACCTTCAGGCATGCTCATTTGTGTCAGGGGTCTGATTAGAGTGAGGAGTGAAAATGCTGTAGACCTTCTAATTTGACACATTTTCCTATGAAAGCTTTGAATCATTTACCAAACAAAGAGCAGTAAAATAAAACAAATCAGCTTTGAGCAGTCTTCACAGATTTCTGTTGTCGTACACTGTTGTGTGAAGAGGATTAGGTTGCGTTTTTTAAACATTTTGTTTGGGTATGGTCTTTGCGCACACATTCAGTATGCACTATCTAGCGAAGTCAAATCTGATCAGTCCTGTGCAATTACTTCCGTATTGATCAGTAGCCGCGTTTTTAACAGTTATTTATCTACGCTAACTTTGTGCATGTAACAGGCTTCATAAACTTTAGCATAACGATATATTGTCACCTCCCTATGGGTGTTGCAACAGGGTATTATTTCTTAGAATTATGCTTTTAAATCTGTCAGTAATGAGGAAACACAAAACTGATGATGTCAGTGTTAACTCGGCTGATTATTTCGACTCCATCGCCACGGCTGGATGCATTCACTATCAGCATTATCTGTAACATATGTAGTAGTGAGATCAGTAATGGTAGGTGTGCATTTTATAACTGCGTCTTTATACATATAGGGTCATGAATTCACCATCATATCTTTGCTTATCTGTCAAGATAAGCACAGCAGAGATAAAAGGGAATGAATTTGTTTGACCTGTAGCCATGCCAATGCTAGGGGGAAGTTTTATTTTTTGTGTTTGCCATGTGTTCGTCTGCTCAAGGTCAGTGAAAATGAGCAGATGTTTAGCAGCATACCGCTGTTACAGGGAGGGAGGGAGGTGATTTTTTTGCAAGTACTGCGCTAACAAATAAGTTTTAAATGAAAATCTCCCTCTGTTGTTATCTAGCCAGTACATTTCCTACCACATACCTTGAAGTTATTCCATCAAGGCGACATTGAAGTAAGCTAGAGGAGAAAATCAAAAAAACTCCTTTACATGTACATACATGTTAATTTATTTCTCAAAAGTAGATTCTTCTGATGTGTAAAGCCGCTTCATCTAATGATATGACTAAATGCGACTATAGTGCTTTCGAATGAATGTATGAACTGATTGCTGTTATGAAATATGTAAATTCTATAAGGATATAAAGAGAAATATTTGTGTATGCAGTTGTATTTAAGGGTGTAAATATGCTGACCCTCTCCTTTGTCCAGAGTCCCTCTAGCGTTCAGCTAGTGCTTTAATTTTAGATGTCACCACTGTTACATGAAACAAAGTGCTTATGACTTACCTGACTGGGTAGTATTTTTAGCATTGCACCATAGTCCTTCACATTCTAACGGTACTTGTATTATATTACTGGTATACATTTAATCTGACAGACAGCAAAATGGAGCTAATTTACTTCCCGATCACCTTTCATCTCTGTTATTTGGCTGATGATCTTATGAAGGGCTTATGTGACTTGAAATCCAGCTGTATTACAGTGCATCTGATCACAATCACTACAACTGACTTTGCATTACATATTTAATGCCAAATATCCCACCAAGTATTACCTTTCATTTTGGCTTTTCCCGAGTCAAGGAAGGTCTATTGCAAGGCTAAGATATGTACATCCAAACAGAAAACAGTACTTATTCCCTGCCTGAGGTTAAACATGGGGTCAAATGGTTTTCTTCCCCTGTATAACATGCTGTAAATGTTAATCACAGACATCAACAGTACTGTACCTGGCATCGATAAATAGAACCATTTTTCTCTCCTTCTTTTCCATCTAATGTTGTTTAGTTAAGCCATTTGCATTTTTGTGGCTAATCTATGCAATCCTACAGTAATGCTTCATGTTCTTATCAGACACTACAGCGCTGTGTCCTGTAGAGTCCTGGCCTTGACCGTAGAGTTTTTCTTGTGTTGCTGCTGTGGAACTAATGTACTTATTGGGGTTTGAAATGATGAAAGGTCTAATAATTACTTTGGCTATGTCCAAATGTTTGCAATGAATTGACAACAGATGTCCACATGTGAAAGGAGGATCATTATAGTGTGTGTGCTTCTCTTTTTATGAATTAAGGTTCGAAAAGAGAGACACTGAATAAAACAAAGGAATGGGAATGTAAATTAAGTCTCTTTGGGTCACATTATTTGAGTTTTCTTTTAAAGAGCAAACAAGCACGCTGACTTTTTGTTGCTTTAATTAGCTGACAGGTCGTGTGTGTGTGTGTGTGTGTGTGTGCGTTTTCTTTTGGGAATCACGTCAGATTGCAGATGCTAGCTTTATGGTATGCACTAAGGTCCTTCCTCAGACACTTGTCTGCCTGACAGCTTGCACAGTTGGCCCAAGATTCAAAGAAAATGGTCTAGCTAGTTTTCTAGCTTTTCATTCCAATGCCTTTTTCTTCTCACCTCCTTATATAGTATCTATGGTGTTCATTGTTTCCTGGATTTTGATAGAAATGTATTTTAAAGTCACATTTTTGTTCAGCGCTGTTGTAATTCCAGGGCAAACTATAATAAAGGACTTTGGGTCGTAAATTATGTTTCTGCTTTTTAGGTTGTAACATAAAGTGACTGTGAAGAATATGAGGTGTATTGTGAGGAATCGAAGCATGATTACACAAGCAGTCTGTGTTGTTTTTGATAGTCAGCTCTGATATGATCTGCAAGTAATTTTTTGTTTTTTTGGTTAACTCTGGATCTCATTTTCTGGAAAAGTGTATTATAAGGGAAATTGGCTGTGGACAGGAGAAAAATGATGAGGGGAATTACCCAACAAGTAAAACAAGAAAAAAAGCTTTCCTTTAATGGCTGCTATTATCATCTTCCTAAGAACTGCCAGTTAACCACTGATGTCAACACTGCTGAGGTAAGACTGACCTGTTGCTGCTCCTCTGTGCAAACCTGTCTGTCTTTGCCAGGAAGACTCTCTGTCCTTGTTTCCACAGACCTGCTGACCCTCTGAGCTCCCTCTACATCATCACAAGTAATTCTGACTAAAAGCAAAGCTGCAGTCACTGTTTCCCCTGACATGAGGGCACTGTTTTGAAAGTCGAGGATGTTGTGCACCTGTGCTGAAACCAATTTGTGGAAACAAGGCTATTTGATGTTGTGATAGTAGAGCTGGCAGTCTTGTCTTTCTCGTGACTTGTTTCAAGTAGAATGTATCTGTATTGTAGTTTTTGTGCTGCTTTCTCAGTGTCAGATTTTTCTCCTTGATCAGTGGTTGGATTTAAGACATGATCCACTGGCTATATAGTATGTCGAGTGAGATTTGATGGTTCGGTGGATAAATGGGCAACTGGTCCTCAAATGACAAAGTTTATTTTTACTGACAGATTATACAGCCTAATGTTTTGTTCATCTCTGATATGTGTTTCTTTTCTCTTTTCTCTTATACAGCTCTGCAAGGGGAGAGCAATGACTACTCTGTGGGGGAGGGTCAAGAGACTGAACCTCCAGCAGAAGATTCTGAAACAACTGAGCTCCACTCCAGTGATGAAGATGAGGAGGAAGCCATCCATAAGAAACAGCAGCAGGATGGGGGAGATGATGAGAGTCACATAGCAGCCCATGACTGCAGTGGATCCAGACCTCTGCTGCTGGATTCTGAGGATGACGAAGAACAAGGAACTCAGCTAGTGCTCACCTCATCACTGCACACCAGCACAATACCGGCACAACCGTCAACTACCTTCCATCAACCTAGTTCGAGCACCTTAGCACAGAATCATTCCCAGCATGTACATGAACCAGCAAAGGGGACAGATGTCACTGCAGATGTCTTCTCTAAAGCCCCCTTTCAGATTGCACAAGAAGATGCAGGTGATGTGTTTGCCAATGCACCATTTTCACGTGCTACACTCGCAACTCAGCATCAGCCTGATGTATTCTCACAGGCGCCCTTTGGAAAAAGAAAGGAGGCTCCAGGGGTTCAGCCCAAGACCCCATACCCTCATGCAGCTGGAGTTCAGGGTGCAACCCCTGATCAGTGTGTGCTGGGACAAGTTATCCCACAGCCATTCCGTCCTCAAGCTCTGGCCAAATATTCTCGACACTTTGAGGGACCCGTGCCTCAGCAGCCAGCAGCAGCTCACAGGCAAACTGCTGTGGCGCCAGTCCCTGTTGGTGGACCTCTTCACTCATGGACCTCAGAAGTGAGCACTGTAGATCCCTTTGTCACTGCTCCCTTTCACGTCAAGGCCCCACAGGAAAAGCCCTGAAACACACTGGGAGGTCAGGAGTCAGTGGGTATTGGCACCACTGAATTATGCAAAGTGTAGCAGGTATACTGCATGCTGTCACCAGCGCTGCAGCTGGACTACAGGCTTGCATGGATGCCATTTTTATGTGGATCCAGTTAGATCATCTTTACACTTGAATGCTCCATTAAGGGTAAGAAAACTGACATCATTTCCAGACTCCTAGTCACTTTTTATTTTCCTGTCCCATTCTTTTATCTTTTGAATTGTCCATTTTTTGGTATGCACATCTCTACAAAGATGACATAGTGGTCAATCATTTGATTGATTTCTTGCCTACCTCAGTTACTTTTTGTCAGCACTAAAATACCGATTTGGCAGTTTTATTTCCTGTATATCTGAGCTTTACTGTGAAACTGTGATCTGAATGCCTCATCCCTCCATTGTATCAGTTCTCAGAAAAATACAAATTCAGCTCCAATCAGAGGATCAGAACTTCACAGAAGCTTGAAAGAAGAAAAGACGCTGTATAGTAATTAGTGAGTGAAAATAATCCACCTTCTCAACACTTTTGTGACAAGATGTTTCAGAGGAATTCATCTGTAATGACATCAAACAAGAAATTTCTAAATGGCCTTACTCCCTAGCTAGTTGTTTTGGGCCGTTGAGTCATTGTGCTTGACAGTTTATGAAGCAGATGCTGGATAATGCTGCATAGACATTTCAAGGATAACTTTGTTTTCTTACAATCCAAAATGTTTGCATTTTTCATGTGTATTATGTTTGTGGTCACTCTTCTGTCTAATTAACATGGAATGTCAGTGTTTGTTCTCTGTAACATTCAAACCTTAAGTAAATGTTAGGCATAGAAAATTCATTATAGTAGTTTCTGTGTTACATAAATGTAGTTTGTTTTTTGGGTTTTTTTTTTTTTTTGCTGTAATTACTGTACAAGATATTTCTGAAGCCTTGCATTCTTACAGTACTTCTCTCCTACCACATCAAACTACATAACATTTCCTGAAATACTGCCGCATTGACATTGTTTTATTGCACTTGCATTCAGTACCAAATATATGTGTACAATAATGTACAACTTCCTTTTGCTGTCTGCGGTATGCACTAAGATTTTCATTCAACTCTTTAATGCATCTCTATCAATTCCAAATGTCTAACTGTGACTTACATTTATGAACAACTGAAGTGAAAACTTTACTTGCAAATTTAAAAAAAGAAAAAGAAATCTTAACCTGCAGTCACAAATATCTGCAGCACTTGCGATTAGCAGTTCCAGCAAGGGATTGTAATAGTAGTATTTTGTAAGAAAGATCTACAGTGGTGAGTGGTTAACGACATTCCATTTGAATTTATTTCCATTGCCATTTGGAAATACAGTAGTTTGTCTCTGTGTTCTGTAAAATCATGAAACACTTTTTGGTTTCCGCCATGGCACTTTTGAGAAAGGGGATCCAACCTGTTTCAACCCAAAGGCTAAATCATGCTTTTCTTTTGCAATGTAAAATCATCTGCTGCCTCTTCTTATTGGAGTGTACAGTTCTTTTTATTAATGCTCACTGTTTTCACCCAACATGTATACATGAAAGTTGCACAGAGTCAAGGTTTTCTTAGAATGTTTTTGGATTGTAACACAGCTATAAAACATATTTAGTGTTGTATGGGAAATCATTGGAAGATTCAACCTTTGATCCTTTTAGACAGAAAAATCACTGAAAATACTTGTAAAATGCTGCACAGCTTGCCTTTGAAAACCGTTGTAAGTCATAAAAATTAAATGAATGTAAATCAAAATTGCCCATTTTTGCAGTTATTTATCACTGTAACATTCACTGTAGCCTACTTTAATATTTTGAAGCACTTGTAGAGTTTTGTTTTTATTATACTAATTTTTTATTATGGATTTGTGTGCTGATTTGTGCTATAGCCTAACTGAACCCTCAGTTACTCCTGGTGTTATCACTGGTGTGTGAGTGCTTTGGAGTGCGAATGGGTGAATGGACCAATAGTGTGAAAGCGCTTTGATTGTGCTGCAATAGATAGAAAGGCGTATTTTCCTTTGAAAATGTGGTATCGTCATTGTTCGCTAGAGGGCGGTAATACATGGATACACCGGATGTTGACCGCCAATAGACATCACGAAGAAGAGGGAAATCGAAGAGTGGTTTTCGTTGGATATAGTGTTTTCCAAGAATGCGCTAAGAAGTGAGTGGTGATATTACAAAATCTGCAATAAAGTAAATTTATGCAGTAACACATATCTGAGAACCACGTGAGGAACGGGTTTATATCGTCGTTGCTGTTGTGAAAGCACCCGCTAGGCTAACTTAGCTAGGTTAGTTGCTTGCTTGTGAATAACTTAATGGTTGCGTTTTGTCTTCACAGTATTTTTCTAAATACCTCATCTGGTTGTGTTCTTCTGAGCACGATGGCTACTCAGAGAGTGCTCCCTCAAAGCAAAGAGACTCTGCTACAGAACTACAACAAGAGGCTAAAAGATGATATCAGGTCCATCTTGGACAACTTCACAGAAATAATCAACACTGCAAAGGTACATAAATACAGTACCCTCACTCGTTGTGTTGCTGTTAAGACAATACTACGTTCTCTGCTCTTTTCTATTAATTAACCAGACATTACAGCCATTATGCTTACTGCCGCTATCACTGGTCTGCTGCCCCTTTTTTGTTTATTTGTTTACTTATGAATTATGACATGATCTCACACAGTTATCTGTCTCCAGATTGAGGATGAGACACAAGTTTCCCGAGCAACTCAAGCAGAGCAGGACCATTACGAAATGCATGTCAGAGCAGCCAACATTGTAAGTATGGACAGAGCAATCTCAGAGTGAATGTGGTGTGTGTGTGTGTGTGTATGTATACTAAGTTGCATGTTGTTGGAGGACATACAGAGAACATGTTTTTATTTTTTCAGTAACATAGTCTATTTCTAAACTCTTCCTCTGTGTTCTTTCAGGTTCGTGCTGGTGAGTCCTTGATGAAGCTAGTGTCCGATCTGAAGCAGTTCCTGATTCTGAACGACTTTCCGTCCGTGAATGACGCCATCAGCCTCCAGAACCAGCAGCTCCGCTCACTCCAGGACGAGTGTGACAAGAAGCTCATCTCACTCCGTGATGAGATCGCTATCGACCTGTATGAGCTAGAGGAAGAATATTACTCCTCCAGGTACAAGTAGGCTCATACTTGTCCCCCATTCCACCACCCCGTGTGCTGTCTCATCTTTTACCATTCACTGCTGAGCCTAAAAGAAGGGTTTAGTTCTGCCAACATCTAAAGCTGACACCCTCTGGGTTGAATTGATCTCATTTCCATATGCAAATGGTACCATTCATCAACACACATTATTGCTGAGGGTCATTGTGACAGAGCTCATCTCAATAAGTCGCTTCATATTATTATTGATTAGTAAGTGCTTTGACTCTTTTTTTTCTCTATAATGTGTTTCATGATTAGTCAAAGCAGAGAGAACTTCAGCATTAAAGGGGAATACCACTAAATGTCAGCAGTATAAATATATCCAGATCTTGAACTGCAACAGTTCAACGATTATTTTTGGGGCATTAATACAGAAGGCTTTTAGGATGAAACCCATAAATCAGAACAGGAAAAACTGGTGTGGATTTATTGCTGGGTTTATTTCTGAATTGTGATCTGACTTTCAGTTTAATGCTATGCAGCATCCAATACACATGAGAGAGGCTTTAAGAAAATATTGCCAGGTACATGCACGAGATGCATGCTTTAACAGAATCTAACTAATGAGGACTACTAGTGATTTATAACTAGCATACATTAAATTGAATTACGAAGCTTTGTTGGGAAAAGGAACAAACCTTTACAGGAATTCCTCACTGAAAAAAGCTAAACTATATCAGTTTAGATTTTATACATGTATCAGTCTTTAAGATTATATGTAATATTTAAAACTTTAATATAATGCTGACTATGGAAAAAGTGTTAATGGATGTTTGTTATGTAGACTCACTGTGCAACTATAGACATGGCTGTTTCTAAAATGTTTTCTGTAAAAGCAGTTTGTAGAGAACATTTTATTGATTACATCCCTGAGACAACAAGCTGTAACCACACAAGCGGTTGGTATACTTCACACAATAGTTTGAAGTATGCACCCGTTTCAGCCAGATGTTCCAATAGGCCCAGAATTACAGAGAAATAAAATAGAGGAAAAACAACACTGTAGTAGTTTGTCTTGTTTTCTCTGAGAGACTGAAACTGGAGCATGCCGGCTGTGGGGTCTTCCTTCCTCGCTGCGCTCGCTCTGCTTTCTCCTCCATTAGCAACTAATCCCACCTTTGCTGAACTTCGATTGTTGATCAGTTATACCTTTAACTAGTGTCAAATCAATAAACAGATGTTTTAATACATATGTAATTTCCAGTGCTTCTGCATAACATTCATGCTTCTTTTGCGTGCCTTTATGTGCGCCTGTGTGTGAATGTGCTTATTCTGACCTGCCGCTTTTATCTGCTCCACTCTTTCTGTGCTGATTCTTTGCCTCTTGCTGCTTTCTGATCTGCAAAGCTACAGTCAGTGGGACAGCACAGATCTGCCACTGTGCGAGGCCTACCGGCGGCAAGACAGTTGGGCCTCCCCGGGTAGCAGCTGCAGTTCTACCCAGGGTGACAGAGAGGATGTGGAAGGACCTCCCTCACAGGAGACAAACCCCCAGCACCACAATGGACATGGGACTGCCTCTATAGAGAAATCATGAGGAGGAAATCGGACAGTGATTGGAACACAGGAGACTTCTGTGCAGTTTGGATGTCACTGGTTTGGCTAATTTAGTTTCCCTTACACACTGTGATTTTGTGAGGCTTGCCACTGTTTTGTGTTATGAACTTGAAGCTAGATTCTGGCATTTCCTTTTTCATTAACAAGCTCAGAAAGAATCATAACATTTGCCTCTAAAATACCTTTCTCTTCAGTTTAAATTACTTTCAAAATGAATTTAGAAATGTGCATATACTACAGACACAATACAGGATAATTAAAAAAAAAATAAAAATACTGACAACTTAAGAATTGAGTGTCTTTGTAGCATTGAAATACAAATATCCATTCTTTTATATTATGTTGGACTCAGCTTAAGTTTTGAATATGACTGTGTGCTTACATTTATTTTGTAAAGGTTTGCTTATGTACTTTTTTAAATTCGTCCAAGCACTGATCAAATTAAAGAACTAATTAAATGCTGTTTTTTTATCATTTTAATCAGATCTGTTTTTGAAAGCCTTAAAAACACAACTGTACAGCTAAAAAAGACAAGGGTGGACAAAGTTATAAACAAATTTAATCTAAATCTAGAGCAGAAACACGGGCAACTTTCATGTCCTTCCTGTTTTCCATAACATATCTTGTCTTATTTGACTGATTTCTTAATAAGACAATCATGCCCTACATAAGCAACATTTATGTTGAATAATCCTCCAACATAACACACTACAATGCAAATGTACTGAGTACAGATAACCACAGAGAGCTATATACAATATTCACAAAGTACAATGCTGTCCTGGGAGTTGTCGTTAACAGTTGTTTGGGGAACATAGACCCTTAAAGCTCATTTATGGACTATTTCTGTAAAAAGGAAGTGAATTGTATTATTTATTCTTCAAACAAAAACATACAGCTTTTTAATATCGGCGATTCATCTTCTTGAACTTCTCATAGTGATAGTCATCTGTGGCCTTTTCGTTGTTCGGACGCTTGCGGTAATTGGGTGGTGATTTTGCTGTGGATCACAAAGTTTCAAAAGAATAATGTGTATTTATTATACTATTGGTATAAATATGTTTTAAAATAGGTCCTAATTCTGTACTATGGTTCTTTACTCTAACACACTGTATGAGGGACTGACTGGAGCTGTGTACTCTCTCTTACCCTCTGGACCTGGTTTCTCAGTGTCGCCCACACGCAGTGGTCTTGCCTTGGGCTCTTCTCTGTGTCTGTGGTGCCTCTGCGGTGCATTCGCATCCTCATGATAAACTGATTTTAAAAAATCATGATTAGCACAGCTTTCACCTCATAATATTCTGGTGTCCTCACATTTTCAACCCCAATGTTTAAAGGCTGACAGAACTCACAGCGGTTGTGTTGGACATAGTTGACAGCAATGTTGGTGGGTACAAATGATGTGCCATTGTCTTTTTTCTTGTTCCTTTGTTCTGCCAGAAGTTTGGCTTTTGCCTCCTCAGTATGGATTATGTTCTTTATCTTTGCACTGGAAAACAAATTACAAAAACATACCGTAACTGATTCGCATCCATTCTGTCGGCTTCACTTCCACATCTCAATGCGGAATTGCTTTCTTGGAAATAAAAAAAAAAAAAAAGTGATGATTTAAAAAAATAAGTCTACAGGATTCTTTTGAGAATCTTTTGTCCTGTACGTACTCAATGCCAAGGTCGACTTCAGGGATACCACTCAGCATTTGATTGGATAACATCTCCTCAGTCTTCTTGGCAGAGTTGACCCGGATGCTTTCAGGAAGCTCATACAGGTGGTCCTCTGCATCCTTAACCTTGATTTTCTGTTCCTCGGCTTCCACCAAGCCCTTCTTCTTTTTCAGCTCTGTCTCAATATATTTCATCCTGGAAGAAAAGACGTGTGAAGAAATAAAAGTTTCAAAAATATTTACATAAAGCACTAGGCAGCTGTGTGAGTACCTGTAATGGTGTCCTAAATGCCTAGGATTACAAACTTGTATCTTATATCATTTTAGATGTGTTCTACCTACTGTAGAACAAATTCAGTTATCTTTTGAACAAAAATGGTGGATCCAAACCAAGCATACTGGCCCTCTATGTCCAGATAAAGCAGTTCTTGAATATACAAACAAATGGAGAAATCGGTCCTCTTCACGTTTTGGAATGGGATGAAACCATTCACCTAAATTACTAGTGTATACCCCCTATGTTTGCATTAGCACTTCCTGACAGAGAGTGATAGTGTGTCTGTGTGTGTGTGTGTGTATACATCACAGCTGAAAGAAATGTACACACATGTCTGCGTCCTCATCTCTTCTGTTAGTTTCAGCAGAGAAGGAGGTGCCCAAGCTGAGGTCTGTCTCATCTTCTGTCCTGCATGTGGAACAAATATAAATTGTCAAAGCAGTGACATATGAAATGTCTTGGATGAGAGGTGAAACATCTTCTACCTAAAACCAAGTTCAGATGATTTTTTTACGTTTTTTCAGCGTACTACAACCTGGATGACTGAGAATTTGCACAGAGACATATGTAATGATTTTCCTTTTTTTAATGACATACTAGACTATAAATAATGCACTGACCAGCCACTTTAATAGGTACACCTGTACAATTGTATGCACGTCAATGCAACACTTCTGCCTTAACATCTGTGATCAAGGCGGAAGTGTTGCCGGCCAGTGTATGTTAACTGCACTGCATCAAAATAATTATGGCAGTAACGACTTTACTTACATGTCCCTATTCCTGTCTTTGACTTTCTTCATATCCACAACGCCCCCCGTCTTCAGTTTAAATGGGTCATTCTACAAGTTATCAAACAAATAACCAAATTAAGTACACACATTGTGGTAAATAAAAATATTTTTGTTTTCCAACCAACTTACATCAATTTCAGCCTCGGGTTGCAATTTCTCTCCAACCAACAAGGCGGTCACACTGAGCAAAAGGGAATTATGAATACTAATTAATATCTCATATATTTCAGTACAGTTATTTCAGAGACTGGACTTATTGAAACGTGTTCCTATTTTATCACATTCACGTTACCTGACTCCATTTTGTCGTCTCCGCAAACTCTGAAGCTCTTTAGCCTCTTCCACTTTTGATCTATACAACCAAGATATACATATATAAATTAAATCACACTGGATATGTACGCTAATGTTACCTTATTTAAAATGCAGCTAAAACTGAATATATGAAATAATCTAACTATCCACGGAGCGACTGGCTAACAACGTTGCATAACGTTGTTCATGTTGTTGAGTTTAAACAGAGTACTCTACCTTACTTCTTCAGTCGTCTCATCCTCCTCTACGTCTGATGAGTCCCTTCTCCTTCTAAAGTTTTTGCCACAGGGCATTTTAATAGTACGTCTGAGCTCTTGGTAAATTTGCGCTACACGACAACAGCCTTTTTGGTATGGGGAGGGGGGAACGTTAGCAAACGTACAATAATATTACGTCACTTCCGCAGACAGGAGCCACTTGTTCTACTTCTTTGGGATGAATAGGTGCAGCTAAGATGCAGTGCTGCCCTCCGCTGGTAATTTCTAGATTTCACCCCGGCGTTAAAATGACCCAGCCTTAGCCTAGTTATAACAGCACTGTTTCTTCTGTCCATTTTTAAATTGAAAGTGTGCTACATAATTTGTTTTGTTGAAAAATCAGACAGGTCTAATCTAAGTGTAGTTAAGCTTTCACTACCAGTGCTTAATGTACAAGTTGGGCAATTCCCATTCACATATAAGGACACAAATACTGAACAAATGTGCAAGGCCATAATAATTTGCACATTACAAAATGGTCTATAAACATGTTTTAAGAAAGTAATAACAAAAATAAATGTTATTCTTTCAGATATTATTAAGACATTAGAAGCAGAACATATAATTTAAAGTGTTTTAATGTCAGCTGTTCCATCATGGTTAATACTTCAATAACAGAATATTCTATATGCATTCAAGCAAAAAATACAGTCCATTTGCAGACTCATGTGAGCATGGATGTAAATGGAAAAATAGTACCAGCCCACACATCAAGTTAAACTCATCTTCCACTCCATCAGAGAGTATAAGGTTGTCTTTTCAGGCTGGCATATCAGTTGTAATGCTTCTATATCTGATACCTATTGACATTGTTACTTGTTGCTTTTTTATATTAGCCTAAACCTTGATGTGTTTTTGTCTGTATCTTATTGTGTTTTTATCAATTTTAGTGATTTATTGTGTCCTTGGGTGATTTGAAAGGTGCAAGGTACTATATAAATGTATTATTATTGTTATTATTATTATTAGTAGTAGTAGTAGTAGTAGTCCTTTGAACCAAAATAAAGCAGTTATTAATAAATAAAATAAAATGGAATTTAAGTAGAACTTAAAACAATCTTCTCACACAGTACTGGAAATTCTGTTTTAAAGCACATTTGCTCAAGAAACAGGATTATGAGAATGATTTCCCAAATCAACCTCTGGTGGCGATAATGCGCCTCCCAGTTGCAATACACCAGTAGGGTGCGCTAATCAAAACAAACATGGCGGCTTCTAGACATGTCGCCAGGTTGTTGGGTATTTCAGTAAGACGTTCACTTCCGTAAGTATATATGTTTGTCAGATATGAGAAGAGAATGTCCCCCTGTGCTTCTAATGCATGCATCCACTCCTTAAGGACCAGAGTCCGGGTGATATCAACTATTAGCAGCTAACCACTAACGTAGGTAATGTTAGGCAACTCGCTGGCGCAGCTGACTATAAACTTCTCAGGACAGGGTGATGGTAGTGGTTGTGCCTGAAACCACTCTGTGTTTACTACATAGTGCACTACATTTACTGTCCTATGTTATGTAGTGTTCTCAAAATGTAAAAAGTAGAGTCGATGTACTCAGGCACTTTTCTCTCTAATTTCTGCGAAGAACCCCACAATGCAATCCCCAATGTTTTACTGATTTAAAGAAATTATAATTGATTAATTCTAGCGTTACAGAAGCTAGAGACGATGCAAACGATGAGGATCATCAAGATTCCTAAAGCTGAGTTTACTGCTCATTATTGAGTTCAAATAATCTAGGGAGTAGTTAATGATTTGGACACAGCATAGTTAGTTGTTTAAGCTTTTGGACACTGATTATAAAAATGAAACCTTGTCATAAACACTTCTTTACTAATTTAAATTAAGTGCACATAGAAATGCACAAAGTTAAAAATCAAGTCAAATTTTAAATGTGCTCTGATCAGTAGTTAACTACAACCTTGGGTTCATGCTCACATCTAGACATTGCAGTGTTTCTTTTATTTTATTTTTTTTTTTTTGACAGTGAATAGTAAGCCCTACCTGAAATTCATGACTGGGCTGCGATCTGGACTCTGACTAGCCTCTCCTTTGTAGCCTGGGTTTTATGTTTAGAGTTACAGATTTGTTGGTTATGATTATGTTTTATTGACACTGTGCTCAAAAGTTTTTTAGTAGATAAGTCTTACAGAGTCCTTCCCATTCTGAAGCCATTATTACCACTCCCTTAAGTCAGAGGGAAGCAATGAAATGAAAGCTAAATATTCAAGTTTGTCCTTTCATATTTTTTGTTATTTTGAGCATAGTAACCATTTGGATTTATTTTGTATGTGCTGTCTCAGTCTTGCTGGCTGTGGATATCAGAGTGCCCGATTACATTGGCCTTCACGTAACACAGGAGTCTCAAACAGATGGCCACCAAACCCCCAATGGGTTGTTCCCGGTTTGTATTCTTGTAGCATTCTATGGCTCTGTACGACAAAACACTAAACAATGACTGATGTTGTGTTCAATGTGGTTTGTCTCTTTATCAGGAAGAACCATGTTTGTGCAGACACAGGATACACCAAATCCAAATAGTTTGAAGTTCCTGCCTGGTTGTACAGTTCTTGAATCAGGAACTATGAATTTTCCTGGCCCTCGTGATGCTTACTGCTCACCATTAGCCAGGTATATGATTTCTTAAACATAAGGTTACTCACCAACAGGTAAAACTGATTTACAGTAGGAATTTATACTCAATATACCATAAAAACAATAAGTGTTTTCATTCTTGTGAAGCTCAGAGGTGGTAGATTTCTGCATACACACAACGATGTCCTTGAGTCTGCACCCAGTGTCTTTAGAGCCAAGCACAATGTTCCTATTTTGTCTGATGCAACTCATAATTGTGGTTGATCTCTTGTGTGTTTTTCACAGCATGATTAGATTCTCTTACCCTGTCAGGATACATGGGATATAGACTTTATGATTGCTTGTCTAAGCTTTTGTCTCTTTAAGTTATTCAGTTATGAACAGAGAGCACTGTTAACTATTTATAAACAGTTACATCACTGTATCTGACTAGCCTTTTGTTAAATATTTTATAATATATTTAATGTACAGTACATGTACAGTATATGTGCACTTTATATTTTAAGCATAATATCCATTAATTAATTAACTTTTCAAGTGTGAATAACTGTTTAGCTTGTAATGTATTGTCTTTAGACAGCTGTTTAGGATTGATGGAGTCAAGAGCGTCTTTCTGGGCCCTGACTTTATCACCATAACAAAGGTAAAACCAGGTGAATTTTATATGAACCTCATTGTGCATTAGACATTAGCACTGTCTAATGAAATTACTTGAAATAATTTTTCTCTATCTTTAGTCTGATACAAATATGGAGTGGAAAGTAATCAAACCTGATGTATTTGCTGCCATTATGGACTTCTTTACATCTGGTCTTCCTGTTGTTAATGAGGACAGCAAACCTAGTCCAGACACAGGTAATTTATTTAAGCAACTGAGGCTGACAAAATGTTTAAACTGGGCAGGCTGTTTGTGAATGCCAACAAATCTCCACTTGTCTTTCCAGCACCATCAGATGATGATGATGAAGTAGTTGCTATAATCAAAGAACTGCTGGAAACTCGTATAAGGTAGCTGCCTGATATAGGAGCATGTTCCCGCCTTCCTTGGCTTTCTGTCCATTTCTCATACATGCTGATGTTGTTTCCCAGGCCAACAGTGCAGGAGGATGGAGGCGATGTTCTGTATCGGGGGTTTGAGGACGGGGTTGTAAAAGTGAAGCTGCAGGGCTCCTGTACCAGCTGTCCCAGTTCCATTGTTACTTTGAAGAGTGGAATTCAAAACATGTTGCAGTTTTATGTGCCTGAAGTTGAATCGGTGGTGCAGGTTTGTTCTTCAGCCTGGAGGATATGTGGCAAACATTTGGCTTAATTTAGTGACAGTGGTGCTCATGTCTTGTTTCTAACTTCCATGTTTTCAGGATAAAAACTTTAAAGGCCATAAGACTGCAGCTGGTTTAGGTTAGCACTATAGCAACCAAACTTATTGTGAACACCACTTGTTTCCATTGCTTGTTAATTGGTGAAATATCTTTAAAAAAAAAAGACTAAAAACATGCTTTGTGTTATAATTTAAGTTCTGTATCTTTTTAGGATTGGATAATAGTTTATTTTGGTGCATATCTTGTCATAACGTCTATCCTCAGCCATGATTAGGACACAGACAGGAAAAAATCTGTGCAACTTGAAAATATTAACTACACTTGTGTTTGTCCACAGGTAAAGGATGAGGAGGAGGCTGCTCAAATTTGAAACACACTGACACCAGAACCATATTCACATTCAGCTGTTGTGTAGCATAGCTGTGTAAAGACCACCACCATCATCACACTTCCAGGTGTTAATAGTGATTTTGATCACAGTTTTTGTACAATGACAGTATTTCGCAGAAGAGCTTAGTCATAGAACAGAGTGCAGAGCTATAAACTATAGCTAATAATAGAAGTAAATAAAAACTAGAGTGCTTCATGGAGGTTAACTTTTAAATTACTTTTAAACTTTTAAATTAAAAGGTTGCTTCATCCAAATTACCAATGAATAAGTAAGTAAGATAAAACAAAAATGACACTTCACACTTCTTCCTAGTACCATCTGGCCATTTAGATAGACTCAGTTTGAGATGTCAGTCTTTGAAATTTCACCAGTATGGTGGAGGTAAATTAGTTTGTGGTAGAGCATAAAAAATTACTTTAAAAAAATCTAAGAACAATATCTCTTTCCAGAATCTGTCACTGTTACTCTGAATAGTCCACATCCATGAATCACAGTGTCTGCTCTTTCTGAAAACGGTTGACAGTCTCGTCTGTCAAAACCATCTCATTCACCCAACCCCCAGACCTCAACAGAGGACAACCCCTCCTTACAAATCTCAGTTAAGACGCCTGCATATACTGTATTATACTATATAAATAAAGTTTACTGAAGCATGTTATCACTCTTGTGTACCTTTTGTTTTATATGTTAATTATGGCTAATATTCCAGATTCAGGCTTTTTTACAAGCCGTTATACATACCTGATTACAATTGAACTCACCTTCTAAATCATACAGTTCAGCTATCTATTTTGTTTTACATGTGGAAATATTGCTGTTATATGTTGCCTATCACTGCAAATTATATACTTGGGGCAGTTAGTTTTACAATACATATGTAAAGCTTTAAATCTAAATAGGTTAAAATAGATTTGGTATTCTACACCAGAATTGCATTGTAGAGAGTTTTTTTTTTTTTTTTTTTTGGCTAAAAAGTGGTGATATGAGGATTTACATGTTTTGGGTCATACTCCTAATTCACCAGAAAGATGAGCAGACAAGTATTTTTAAATTCCAGCTACAATCATGAACTTTAGACAACAAAAAGTGCGTTGACATTTTGTTGACTAAATGACTCATCAGTTGAGCTGGCAGAATGCTCTCACTATGCGGCGATATTTATTTAAGGCGTGAGGTCTCGCATGCTGGCAGTAGTGGCGGCGGCAGGGTGTGCTTCCTGGTGCCACGTCAGGAGTGTCCGTCGCTTGTGTCCATTGACTACAGTCATGCTACAGTCTGTAGTTTGTTCCATAGGCACACAAGACTGACATGTAGCTCGACCAATCAGAGGGCGCTATGAAAGAGGGCGTTTGGTTCTGATTCAGTGAAATTTAATGGGGGCGAAGCTTATCTGTTAGGCGTTCCTAGTGTCTCGGGTAGTTGTAATTGGCAGCCAAGCTGTAGAAATGTGTGGTGAGTACGGTATATATTCTAGACTTATGTTTTTCAGTGTATTATACCCCGTGTACCACAGCATTAAGAACATCTAACGTTAATAAATAGCATTAGTGTCAGACTAAAAGGCATGTCAGTTGGAATTAGCTAGGGGTGGCTATCTCAAGTTAGCGAAATTAAGATGGTGTAGCTGGTGCTGTTAGCTAAATATAAGCCTACCAGTATTTCATTTTGGTGCACACGCTTTTTGTGTTGTGTGATTAAAGAGTGTCGAACAACAAGTCCATATGTGGAAGATAAATAAAATGATAACTGTTAACCTGCTTTCTTCCTGCTAACATCAGACAGCTAAGGAGGTTTGCGGTGACATTAGGTTAACATTAAGCCTTTCCACGACCCACCCCCACCCCCACCCCCCTTGAAGCAGGTATGGGCTGATATTTCCGTTATGTTTTACGTTAGCTGAAAAAGGAACCTTGAAGAGAAGTGCACACTGACTGGATGTAGCACTCCTCATGCTGTAATAAGTTAAACGTAGATTAAGAAATAACCCGGAAACAATGCTATTTATTCATGATAATAATCTTGGTAAACGTAGGCGAGCTGGTTTGCAGGTATCTGTCATCGTCCCATTGTCTGTCTCTTTGTAGACACTAGTGAGTGATAAATGATTCCTCCCTCTCTCCATGCACTGCCATTACAATGTGATACACCAATCCGACCAGATAGACTAGTTGACGGAAAGCACAAAAATAAATATCGCTTCATTGCCATGAGATACTTTAACTATAAGATGTCACTACGCCCAGGTTAATATTACTTTAGTTAAACCTTTTTTCCCCCTTGTTTCAACACTTTCCCCACGGCTAGTTGCCTCTTCTGCCTGCCTCCTATCACCTGCTGTCCTGAATGAATGCTCTGTCCAACCAAGCTATGTGGCTTAGCTGTGTAACAAGGCTGTGTTTCATGTCTCCTGTTTCATGTTTGTAATGGGCTTGGCTGTAGAAGTGTTTGCAGGAAGACGTGCTGATTATTGACTGAAACTGTTGATTAAATGCTCATGTCTTGACTTATGTGGGCCTGATATTGTACCATAAACATTTAAATGGTGTACAGATTTTGGGGCAAGAGTTCTTAGGTGAAATCCTATTTCTGTGCAGTTATTTTTGACCAAAGCAAAAATTATGTTGTGATTTCACTTGTTACTATGAATTTACAATTATATTTGTCCTAACTGTGGGTGGAACCATAACAATGTGATCATATCAAATTTTTGTTTAATTAAATTCTGTTTTCTGAAAGAGCTAAATGAATGAATGAAGGGTTTTAACATCTGGTGAGTTTTGTCTGATATAATGAACAGTAGAACACATTATCTTCTATGATTTTGGGATAATAATCAATCTGCATATTCAGTTGCATTTCTAAGTAAGAAATAAAAAAAAACACAAATCTATTTATGGTGGACTGAAATTCTTTATATAGAAGACAGTTCTGAATCTTGAATGTTTGTTTTCCTCTCCCCAGGAATCTTTGCTTATCTCAACTACCATGTGCCGAGGACTCGCCGTGAGATCCTTGAGATCCTTCTCAAAGGTCTGCGGCGTCTGGAGTACAGAGGCTATGACTCTGCAGGTGAGAGAGATGGGAAAAGGTTCATATCACCAACACAATGGCTTGTTTATCAGGCCTTATTCCTTCACTGTCCCCTTACTATCTGCCTGAAGTATTTTTAAACTGATAATGCCACCCAGTTGCTGATAGTATTTAGTGTGTCTGATATAAGGTCACTGTGGCCTAACAGTCCCCTCTATCAGTCACATTTGATATTTTATTTGTTCTATGTAGTTAGGAACCCCTGCGGGGTCTGCTGCCCCCGCGACCTGGTTCCGGATGAGGGGAGGAAGATGGATGGATGGCGTTAGGAACACAAAGCAAGACTGAATTGTTGACCAGCTGCTGTTATTATTGTTATTATTATTATTATTATTATTATTATTATTATATAGTGCTAAGTTACAGTTATTGCACCACTAATGAAGCTAGTTTACTGAATGTTAAGCCCACTTGCATTTCACTCAGGCATAAAGGGTTTTTCCATGTATTAGTTGTTTGACAAGGGCAGCACAGCAGTGGTTAGCCCTGTGAGGAGTTCACATGCTCTCCCTGTGCCTGTGTGGGTTCTCTCCGGTTACCACGGCTTCCTCCCACAGTCCAAAGACATGCAGCTTAGGTTGATTGGTGACTCTAAATTTCCCATAGGAGTGAGTGTGAGTGTGTGTGTGTGTGTGTGGTTTGTCTACATGTCAGCCCTGTGATAGACTGGTGACCAGTCTAGGGTGTACCCCACCTCTTGCCCAATGTCAGCTGGGATTGGCTGCAGCCCCCCCTGCAGCATAGATAATGGTTGGATGATTGTCTGGCATTAGACCAAACCCAGGACATGATTTCCAAATTGGTAATAACACCATAATGCTTTTTTTAACCTGTTGTTACTTTTTGTTTTTTTTGTGTTCCTGTTAGGTGTGGGAATTGATGGGGGTAACGGCAAGGAGTGGAAGTCAAATGCCAAGTCTATCCAACTGATCAAGCAACGCGGAAAAGTGAAGGCTCTTGATGAGGAAATCCACAGTAAGCTGAGAGGAAGTTCTTCACTTGACAAGAATCAGTCTTTAACAAATGAAGCCCAAGGCTTTGTCATCTGGTACTGTATACCGTTGTACAGTTGTTATTCTAATTGTCTGTTTGGTTGTGTTTGACCTTTAGAACAGCAGGATATTGACCTGGATGTAGAGTTTGATGTTCACCTTGGCATTGCCCACACCCGCTGGGCCACCCATGGCGCACCAAACCCAGTCAACAGCCATCCACAAAGATCTGACAAGACCAACGGTCAGTTGTGTTAAAGATAGAAGGCTAACTCACATCACACAGCTAAACATTTTGTCTTGTCCTTTACAGCAGTCTGTTTTTTTGTTTTTTTATCGAGTACCGGTATATTGATGTCTAAAAGCTCATGATCATCTTTCTGCTCTGCAGAGTTCATTGTTATTCACAATGGAATTATTACTAACTACAAAGACCTGAGGAAATTCCTGGTGAGCAAATGTCTTTCATAAACTATTCTAGACCTCTTTTCATCAAACTGACTTACAGACAGGACAAACTCTCTCACTACAGGAGAGTAAAGGTTACGAGTTTGAGTCAGAGACTGATACAGAGACTATAGCCAAACTGGTGAAGTACATGTATGACAACCGGGAAAGTGATGACATCAATTTTGCCACACTGGTAGAACGGGTGACCCAGCAACTGGTAAGGACCTGCTCATGCACTCCACTGCTCCTGAAGTGGTTGGTAAATAAAGAAGCCTGTTTGATGTGTTTGTTCTTCCACCTGCCAGGAAGGAGCATTTGCCCTGGTCTTTAAGAGTGTCCACTACCCCGGAGAGGCAGTTGGCACAAGGTACACTACCAGTGATTCTGTCAGACTGTTTTAGTTATTGAAGATGAAGGTACTGTTGGCTCATAAAAAATGTTGTTGTGTAGGAGGGGAAGTCCTCTACTGATTGGAGTGCGTAGTGATCACAAGCTGTCCACAGATCATATTCCTGTGCTTTACCGCTGCTGTAAGTTTAAATTTTTGTTTTTGCCTAAATTGTTCACATGTGAATGGGCTTATGTGACTGAGACCCAATTTCATCTTTTGTCAGCTGGTAAAGACAAGAAGAGCTGCAGTGCCCTACCCAGGACAGACCAGGACACCTGCCTGTTCCCTGTAGATGAGAAAGCTGTGGAGTACTACTTTGCCTCTGATGCAAGGTAAGTGAATACCTGAGCCTTTGCACCCACCTTTTACACTCCAAAGTCTCTTTGAAGCCTGCTTTCCCACTTTATCTGTAGAGTTTAAATCAAATGTCTGATGCAGTTTTGGTCTGTACCTTTTGTCACAAAAAGTGCAGTGATCGAGCACACAAACCGAGTGATATTCCTGGAGGATGACGATGTGGCTGCTGTGATGGATGGCCGGCTGTCCATCCATAGGATAAAACGCAGGGCTGGAGACTACCAAGGCCGTGCCATCCAGACCCTCCAGATGGAACTACAGCAGATCATGAAGGGTGAGTGCAGGGACAGCTTGTGTTGTGTTCATACTTACCCCTAGGTGTATTTGAAAATATATGATTTGTACTCTCTTTGTAATTTTGTCCATTGCCCTGCTATTATTGTGTAAATCCATTTGGGAGAATGCTTATTTAGCTGAAATGGCTTTTAACATCCAGCCCCAGGGCTGTTCCTATTATCATCTAAATAGCTACAGTCCTGCTGGAACAGTTGCACCCTCAAAATAGCTGGTGCCTATGAAATGGCCATGAGTTGGAGGATTTTTATCTTCCAGACACTGAACCCCCAAGTTGCCCCCGATGGTTAGAGCCATCAGTGTGAGCTGGCGCCACAGATGGCTGCCTCGGTTCTCTACTGGAAACAAATTCCTTGTGTGCAACATACTTGGCCAAATAAAGGTGATTGTCAACTCAGGCACAGAAAAGGATAAAGTGCACTCTGCATGCAGTTGGACTGAAATGTTTCTATTTATTTATATTTTGGGCTCTCTTTTCCAGGATTTGAAATTTAAATGAAGGCTAAATGGTTCATTTCAGCTTTCATTTGAGAATATTTACATTAGATGGTGTAAGAAGTGTATCCCTCCTTATACAGGGTTTTCCAGAAATGGGGTCAATTTTCTCTCTCACTGAGTTACATTAGAAGATTTACCACCTTCATTTCTGTACTGAAAGTGTGAAATGAGAAGCTACATTTAGCACCCAGTTGTGTTATAAGGACTAGAAATGGGGTAAGTGGTCATCCTGGCTCTCTTGGAGTGTAACAGAATCCACCATTTAACAGGCCTCTGGGTTGTAGTTTTTAGACTTTGTTTTGTTTTGTATAGCTTAAATAAGCAAGATGTAAAGTATCAATTAAGGAGCTTTAGAGGCGATAGTAGGTGGATTTTGGTATTTGTGGACAAAGCCAAGATATCTGTTTTCAGTCTTCGTGCTAAGTTAACCACCTGCTGGCAGTGGCTTCATATTTGTCGTACAGTCACAAGTGGCATCAGTCTTCCCATCTAACTTTCATCAATAAAGTGAATAAATGTGTTTCCAAACATGATGGATTCCTTTAATGAGTCCAGGGCTACATTTTCATTATTCCACTATTTTTGTATTATTGATTAGTCTGCTGGGTAATTGGTAATTGTTGAATCTATGACATATCAGTAAGTAGTGGAAAAACACTGGTCACAGTTTCCCAGAGCCCAAAGTAATGACCAGAAATGGCTGTTTTTTTTGGCTAGATAGCAAGCAGTCCAAAGCCCTAAACATATTTTAATTTACTACAGTATATAACAATAACAAGCGGCATATTCTCACATATGAGAAGCTGGGATAAGGTTAAAAAATGACTGAAATGAGTAATTACCAGAATAGTTTCAGATTAATAATTTTCTTTTGATGGAACACTTCCCTTCACAGACTTTTCCTCAGTAATCCAGCAGAGGGCAGAGGTGAACTAATGTTGGCTGCACTTGACATTCCTTTGTGGTCCTGTCATTACTCAGACTCTCTCCTCTGTCTCAGATTCTAATTCATATGACCTAAATTACTGTCAGAGGCAGGCACAAAAATGCTCTAGTTTTTCAGTGTTACAGTTTGTAATTGATAGAAAAACACTATCTCCCTGATATGTCATGTTTGTTTTCCTTCATTTAAGGGATCACATTACACTGTGGCTGTGAGTATGTTAATAAATCAACAAAAAGATTATACATTTCCATGAAAGCCTGATTATCAGTAAAACATTGTAAAGATCTTGTTTGCTCTTCCAGGAGGCAGGAGTGTTCTTTTACAGAAACCTAAATGCATGTAAACATGACTTTTCTCAGGCAGCCTCATGTGACCTCACACTTTATAAAATGTCTATCACTGTGCTCTTAAAGAGACATTTACCTTTTTTTTTTACTAGTGCTGGAGATCTTCCCTTGATATCTGATCCTCTCACCACAGGCAACTACAGCGCCTTCATGCAGAAGGAGATCTTTGAGCAGCCAGAGTCTGTGGTCAACACCATGAGAGGGAGAGTCAACTTTGACAACAACACAGGTTAGAGTGGTGTCTTAGTTGTTCTCATATGCCTGTAAGTGCACCAATTTCCACTCTCTCTCTCAGTATTTTCCCATCACACGTTTATAAATCTGGGATTGCTAACGTTTGAATAACCTCAAAGTGTAAACAGTCCCTCTTGTTCGAACTTTCCTTCATTTGCTCAAACACATGTTCAGATGTCTGCAGTTCAGGATTTCTGCCAAGGAAAGTTACAGAAGAGGATCAGGGCCACAGTAAAATACATTTGCGTTCTGTCTTTAAACTCAGCATTCTGACTTTCAGCTTTAAAGTCAGAATTCTGAGACAAAAGTCAGATATTTTAGAAACCACATACAGTAAGATCACATGATTATTTCAGTTGCCTGCACTGTTATTACCACATAAAAAATATCTCACTTTTAAAAGAAGGAGGGTTTATGTTCACCTCCAACTTGTAATAATTACCTTTTTCTCATTGTGCCATTTGGTTTGCTTTTCAGTGATACTGGGAGGACTGAAGGACCACATCAAAGAGATCCAGAGATGCCGGCGACTTATCCTTATTGCCTGCGGCACCAGCTACCATGCTGGAGTAGCAGTGAGTAGCCACCTAACTAAGTGCCCCCCCCGCCCTTTGATGTAAACGCACCATGATGCAGTGTCTGTTTTGCCATCCACAGTAAATCCATCCGACTAGTAGTAAATGTGATAAATATATTGGGTACACAGGTGTGAGGTTTGTTGCATTCTTTGCTGAGTGCATCCAGCTTGTTTTCATGAGAGTGATGCTGAGCAGTCCTTTCTTGCTTTCCTAGACCCGTCAGGTCCTGGAGGAGCTAACCGAGCTGCCTGTCATGGTAGAGCTGGCCAGCGACTTCCTGGACAGGAATACTCCTGTCTTTCGAGATGACGTCTGCTTCTTTATCAGTCAGTCAGGTGGGGAGGCTGGTGCCATCTGGCATCTAGTGCAAGTTCCCCATTTGTTTTCCACTTTACAATTAGAGAAGCCATTTCCTAATGTATCTCTCCCTGTGCTCTGCTTGAGTTTTAGCAAACTATTACATTAAAGTTCTGCTATACAGTTGATTTTTCTGTACCGATCCTTCTCTGCTGCAGTCATGGGAATGTGGGATATTTTATTTATATATTTAGAGTCCTATTTTGTGTGTCATGAGTCTTTTAGCCTTTTTTCAAATTGGAGACCTGTTCTATGCAAAAGCAATTCCCAACAAGCTAGTAAATCCTCATCATTTTACTGTTACATTGCATAAGCTACTGTGTTTTCTATTCCTGCCAATCCTCCAGGGGAGACTGCTGACAGCCTCATGGCCCTGCGCTACTGTAAGGAGAGAGGTGCTCTGACTGTGGGCATCACCAACACAGTGGGCAGCTCCATCTCCAGGGAAACTGACTGCGGCGTTCACATCAATGCTGGCCCAGAGATTGGAGTAGCCAGCACCAAGGTAAATCATGACAACTGCTGTTCTGGTTAACTTTCTCAGTTCTCACGAGTCTAACTTTCTTGACCTGTGGAAGTTACAAACCATAATATTATTACCACAACATTTAAGTTCAAGTTCAAAGTGTTTATTTGTCATATGCACAGTTAGGAAACGTGTTTCCCTGTACAATGAAATTCTTACTTTGCCGTCCACATGAATGCCACAAAATACAAATGAAATAGAAAGTAGATAAATAAGTAACACAAAATCTAAGGCACTTTAAGCAGCAAATGCAGCAATATAATAAAAATATATAAGAATATAATAAGAGAATGTATGCTGCATGAGAGCAGCATTTTTCAGTCTAGTGGTCCTGCATTTCACACTTCTGAATCTCCAGCCAGAGGGCAGAGAATTGAGCAGTCCATGCTGGGAGTGGGTGGGATCTTTGAAGATAGAGGCAGCTTTCCTACGCACCCTGCAGTGGTAAATGCTCTGCAGAGAGGGC